TGATGGGAATCGTTATTCCAACCCACTGAATTTCTGGATGGGTTTAGTACATAGCGTTATTGTGGCAGTAACTAACCAGTACATGTACCCACTCTTTTATTAGGTTATCAGTTCAGCTGCTGCAATAGAGACCCTAAACAACAGTGGGTTAAATAAGAAAGACATTTATTGATCTCTCGTGTAAGAATCTGGTTAAGTAGTCCAGGGTTAGTTTGGTGGCTCGTGTGTCAGGGAGCCAGGCTCCACCATTCTCCGTGTGACCCTCTTCCACCCGAAGCCTTCATATTGTTCACAGATCGAAGTCTTACCGAAATATTCCACAGTGTGGCGCCAAAACCTCGTTCCAACATCACCGTCCAGCACCTAAGGCCTCACCTTGAACCATGATTCCGCTTCTCTTTCAGGCCTGGGGACTTGTCCTCTTCTTGAATGGGCATGCTCCCCTCCACGTCCCCAAACTGGTGCTCCGCTGCCATCCTCCAGGTGTCAACGCATCTCACTCTCACCAGGACCCCAGGGGCCAGAACTGGTGCTCCCCAGGAGTGAGAGGCCCTCACCTCCATGGGGGGTGGGGGGAGCCGTCCAGTGTCCAAGACAAGAGTCCAGTCTCCCTCCCAGTCATCCTCGCACCTGGCCTCTCCCACCCTCAAATCCCTGCTCACCTCCGACCCCGAAGAAGCCAGAGAACCTCGGCAGCCCCAACTTCCCTGCCCCCCTTCCTTCCACACCTCAGCAGTTCAGTGAGCTTAACAAGGCTTGTTAAAATGGGTCCCTCTGCTTCTGAGGTTGACTCAGGATGGGTGGGCACGTGGGTTTGGAGGGTGACAGGCTCTCTGCTGGACCAAATTCTAGCCAGGCTCCTCTGAGCCTTCCTCTAGATCCAACCTTGGCCTATAAAGACGTCAACAAACACTAACAGAGTTTCTAACAGCTCGAGACCACATTTCTAGGATGACCCTAGCCCTCCTTAAAGTGGCTGCCTGAAAAAAGCTCAAGGCTGCCTAAAGGATTTGCTGTTTGTTCTAGCCAACACCTCAAGATAGGGCTCTTGTCTCCCGGCTTCTGGGACAGGGTAGGAGCCTAACTTTGAGAAGCCTCAGTTAGCCAGCACAGATGGGTTTCACGTGACCATCCCGCCTTCCCCTTCTCACTTCTCTGACTAGACAGACCCTCCCCCCTCCTCATCCCCTCATCTTCCCTTTAAAAGCCCTGTACCAGTCGCAGTTGAGTTCAGTTCATGATGGTCTCTTTCCCTCTACCACTGCAATTGTACATTACTGATTGAACTCTGATTTTACCACTTTAAGTAGCATGTGGCTTTGTTTCTTTCTGATAAGGGGGGGCGTGTGTGTGTCCAGGACTAGACTTTTATTTTTATTTACTTATTTAGGATCAGCGTTTTATTTTTAAATTTTTATTTATTATTTGTTTATTTTCTTTACTTTTTGGCTGCATCAGGTCTTAGTTGCAGCATGTGGGATCCTTTTGTTGCAGCGCGCAGGATCTTCGTTGTAGGGCTCGGGCTTCTCTCTAGTTGTGGCGAGCAGGTTCTCTCTCTCTAGTTGTGGCACGGGTTCCAGAACGCGTGGGCTCTGTAGTTTGTGACGCGCGGGCTCTCTCGTTGAGGCGTGCAAACTCAGCAGTTGTGACGCGCGGGCTTAGTTGCCCTGTGGCATGTGGGATCCTAGTTCCCCGAACAGGGATTGAACCCACATCCCCTGCATTGGAAGGCAGATTATTTATTTACTTATATTATTTTTTTTTTAATTTATTTTTGTCTGTGCTGTGTTTTCATTGCTGCACGCAGGCTTTCTCTAGTTGTGGCGAGCTGGAGCTACTCTCTGTTGTGATGCGCGGGCTTCTCATTGCGGTGGCTTTTCTTGTTGTGGAGCACGGGCTCTACGCAAGCGAGCGTCAGTAGTTGCGGCACGTGGGATCAACAGTTGTGGCTCGCGGTCTCTAGAGCACAGGCTCAGTAGTTGTGGCACACAGCCTTAGTTGCTCCGCGGCAGGGGGGATCTTCCCGGACCAGGGCTCGAACCCATGTCTCCTGCATTGGCAGGTGGATTCTTAACTACTGCACCACCAGGGAAGTCTGGAAGGCAGATTCTTTACCACTGGACCATCAGGGAAGTCCCCGGATCAGCCTTTTAAAGAAGCATCCCAGAGATGTTTGAGTGTAGAGCTCCACAGACCATATTTTGAGAGATGATATTTCCCTATGGACACCTTTCCTCTGGCAGCCCTTTTGAATGGCAGCTATGTTCTCTCCGATGCTGCACTGCCTGCAGTCTACCCAGCTTTCATCCCAGTGAGAACATTCCGGAGAGCAACTAAGGATCAACTCCAGGTGTTTCTACAGTCACCTCTGGGACTAACTGCATGTCACCAGCAACCAGTACCTCACCTGCTGCCCAACTACACTGACACCTTCCAGATTTCTGACTCAGCTAGCTCTCCACCATGTTATTCTATGTAGAAACACCCCCCTTTTACAAAGCCTTGGACACCCATAAGCCTATGTAAAAAAAAAAGGAGTAGGGCTCCAGGACTTCTCCAAGTACAGGTGGTGCCTCCTCACCATACCTGTATACAGACGCATGTTGGATAGTGTTGGCTTGCAGGGAGAGCCAGTCTTCGGGACTGTCCCCTCTGCTCTGACGGGTATCCTCTTTCTCCCTTTCAGAACTGCTGAGCCCAAATCTTCTTTCAATCATCAACTGTGCGAAAAAGATTGTGTCCGGAACAGGGGGGATGAAGAACTGGTGAGGAGGCCACTGTGGGATGCAGTTAGTGGGCGGAGCCTTAAGCAAGATGTAGTGACAGAGAAAGGGACAGTAGGCCAGGACCTGACCTTTTCTACAGCCTAGAAAAATGTGGGATGTGGCAGGGCTTGGAACTCCCACTTAGAAGACCTGGGATCTGGCTCTTCCTCTGACACCGTATTAAACAAAACTCTTTTGGTTGCAGGAACAGAGCAACTTGAGCTAGCTGGGGGAGATTTATTCTGAGAGGACAAGGTGTCTTGCTGAGCCCACACGAGGGGTGCAGCTGGGCCTCAGGAAGAGGGTGGAAGCAGGGCTGGAAACTTTCCTTTGCAGGTTTCTGCTTCTCTTTGTGCATTGGCTTCATTACTCCCTCTGCAGACCAGCTTTCTCTGCTCTACAGTCTACCAGACAGACTATGTCTGCCCTGAATCTATGGGCTAATGTCCTAAGCAACCATAGAGACTAGCTAGGCTCAGTCCCAGTCCAAGTGCCTGGCAGGGAGGATCTGATGGGTTCAGCTTGGACCCTGTGTCCCAGCTCCATTCATTCAGCTACAGGCATGGAAGAAATTAAGCAACATAAACACGGCTGCCACGGGCCCTCTCTACATAATTGGCAGCAACATTTTCTATAAAAAGTGTTGCTGGGCTTCCCTGGTGGCTCATTGGTTAAGAATCCGCCTGCTAATGCAGGGGACACGGGTTCGAGCCCTGGTCCGGGAAGATTCCACATGCCGTGGAGCAACAAAGTCCATGTGCAACAACTACTGAGCGCACGCGCCTGGAGCCTGTGCTCCGCAACAAGAGAAGCCACTGCTATAAGAAGCCCGCACACCGCAACAAAGAGTAGCCCCCACTCGCCGCAACTAGAGAAAGCCCGTGTGCAGCAACGAAGACCCAACGCA